GGTCTAATCGCTGCAGACCAAATCTCCCGTGAGAGGCAGAGGCCAAAGGTCCCACTGACAGGAGGAGCTCCACCTGCCTTTGTGTTTATACCTTTCTGTCCCCCAGCAGGGACAGACTCTCAGGAGCAGTTGAACAATGATAATTTGTGTAAGAATAAGAGTCAATAATGTTGGCATGTCCATGGCAGTGATGGCAAGGCTCAGCAGCAGGTACTGCCCCTGGTCCATGCTCCTCTTCACACCCCAAGCACTGCCTTGTGCTCTTCACTTCCAGCAAACGGCTGCAAAAGACCAGAGATCGAGAATGGAAGAGCGACCGGGCTGGAGACCGTGTACAGACTTACAGACATCGTTGTCTTCGAATGCGATTTTGGTTACGCCTTGAAGGGCTCTCAAGAGTCTCAGTGCCAGTTTGGGGGCACCTGGGACCCTCCTGTCCCCGTCTGTGAAAAAAGTAAGTGTCAGCGAGGCGGTGGGTGGCAGCTGATTTCTCCTGATCCGCTGTGTGAGTGCACCTGGCAGGGTGCAACTGCCTCACCTTGGAGGTAAAGGGGCTGCTCTCCGGGACTGGAAAGGAAAAACACACAAATACCTATCCTCCCATCTTCATAGTCCCCATTCAGACCCTTGTCACGTAGGGCTTTCACCTCCTTAAATGAATTCACAAAGAGAGAGCCAGGCTGGTGTATGATCTTCTTCACAACCAAGAAAAGGGCAGAGCAAGTGGTTACAGCCACAGACTGAAACTCACCACTGTAAATATCCAAATAGTGAGGAAAAATGATTCTTGATATTAATAAGCTCAAAAAACATGAAGGCTGGCAGATAGGTGATGGTAGGATGGAAACATAATTGATACATTGACAGCCTTAGCTATTTGGGAAAAGTTAATGGGAAAGAAAGAAGTGAAAAGGTTTACCCTGCCGTGGGTGTTTCTGGTACCTGCTCTTCACCAGTTATGATTTTTTCCTCTCCTTGCAGTGCTACAGTGTCCTTCCCCTCCAAATATCAAAAACGGCCAGCAAGAGAGAAAGGAAGTGAAAGCGTTCATCCCTGGAATGTCAGTGAAGTACTACTGCGACCCCGGGTACGTGCTCACCGGGAAAACAACAGTTACGTGTTTGACATCTGGAACCTGGAGCATCCCTTACCCCCGGTGTGAAGGTGAGCTGTGAGGGCTGTACCCACAGAGAAAAGGGAGACCGTCGAGCTCCCACAGCTTTCCTGAATTTTGACCTCACAAGAACAAAGTGGGGATCCCCAGCTCTGGCCGCCACCCCCCCAGCCCATGCTCTGCTGCTTTTCCCTTCCAGTGATCACTTGCACGAGCCCCGACGTCCAGAACGGAGCAGTGGCTGAAGGACAGAGCGCTGTGTACCGTCCCGGGGCCAACGTCACCTTCCAGTGCCAGCCGGGCTACGTGCTGCGGGGCA